AAGTTTTTCAAAGGCAAGAGTTATCAACTGGCTGCCTCAACCCTCTTCCTCTAAAGTACAAAAAGACATTTGGGGATGGGGGGAGGGGGGAAAAGGGAGCAAAACACACTATATATAAATGTTTCTATTCTTGATTTACTGGCTATATTTTGCCTCGTATGATGGCTTAGGAATGTACTGCTTTACTCCTCCCTTCTAGATTATAATTACAAGAAGAATAGAGGCTATAGTTTACCCATCTCTAAGTGTTCCCTCCTACATCTACCTCCACTTACCACAGAGCCTCAAATGTGTGAGCAGTCACATTAACTTTGGGATGTATTGTAGTGATGGTGAACTTTTTGAGCTCGGCGTGTCAGCATTTTGAAAAACCCTAACTTAACTCGGTGCTGTGTCACATATAGAAATTTTTTGGTATTTTCAATCATAGTAAAACAAAGACTTATATTTTTGATATTTATTTCATATATTTAAATGCCATTTAACAAAGAAAAATCAACCAAAAAAATGAGTTCGCGTGTCGTAGGTTCGCCATCACTGGTGTATTGGAACTCTCCAGCTCAGGGATTTTCTCCTCCCACCCCCAATACAACTGGACCAAACTGGTTTGCCCACCACTTCCTGCCTGGGTAACTAGAGGTGAACCTTTTGCCGACCTTAAATGTTCGTCACAATCTCTTAAGATTCTTGCATTCCCCACAGGATTAACGGAAGTAAATAAACTTGTGTTTATTAAGGTAAACATGGCCAGAATATGTCCTCTAAACTTCAAACATCTCTCTAAGTCATTACAAATATTCTGCTTTAAAAACAAATCAACATGAGGATGCATTCTGGTGTTTGTTCATTGTTTACTACATTTAGTTCAAATTAGGTGATTCCTTTCAAAGTCATTGAGAAATACACCACTGTAAACATCTATGCCAGGAGATCTTGTTTACCCCAATCATCTCTTGGCTGTGAGTCATGGGTGATGACTTAATGGCCTGTTTTAGAGGAAAACATTGGATAAAAACCTGAGTTTTATTGTTGCCCTTTTCTGTCCTACAGTAATCACCACCATGTGTGGGATGACTGACACTGTCCCCTAGAATATGGTCTCCTTTCTACCTATACTTTCTTTTCTTACTTAAAGACATATTTCTGTTTAAATCGCTCACTTTGTCAGGAAACTGATATGAAATGAGTTGGCCCTACTTTATTTTTTTTTTTGTTTTTGTTTTTTTGTTGTTTGTTTTTTTTACATGGGTATTCACAATTTTATTTATTTTTTTTAATTTTTTTATTTATTACAAAGGATATTACATATGTGTCCATTTTTTCCCCCCGCCCAAGACAGTCCCCTAGCCTCCCCCATCCCCCAGTGTCTTATGTCCATTGGTTATGCTTATATGCATGCATACAAGTCCTTTGGTTGATCTCTTACCCCCCTACCTCCCGCCCCCGAACCCTCCCCGGCCTTCCCGCTGCAGGACTTTGAATATGTCAGGGATCGCCCTCAGCAGACTCACCCAGGAGAGGAAAGCTTGGAAAAAAGACCACTCATTTGGTTTTGTAGCTGTCCCAACAAAAAACCCCAATGGCATAATGAATCTCATGAAATGGGAGTGTGCCATTCCAGGGAAAAAAGGGACCCCTTGAGAAGGAGGCTTGTTTAAACTAAGCATGCTCTTCAAAGATGACTATCCATTCTGACCTCCAAAATGCAAATTTAAACCACCATTATTTCACCCAAACGTGTACCCTTTGGGCACTGTGTGCTTGTCCATCCTCAAGGAAGACGAGGACTGGAGGCCAGCCATCACAATTAAGCAGATCTTATTAGGAATACAGGAACTTCTGAATGAACCAAATATTCAAGATCCAGCTCAAGCAGAGGCCTACACAATTTACTGCCAAAACAGAGTGGAATATGAGAAAAGGGTTCGAGCACAAGCCAAGAAGTTTGCACCCTCATAAGCAGCGACCTGCAGCAACATCAAAAGGAAGGGATTGCTTTGGTAAGAACTTGTTTACATTTGCACATTTAGCATTGCTCTATACAATTACTAGTCACCTAGGGGAGGTAGGCAGGCGCCATTTTCTATTTCTGCCACTGGTACACACTTCTCCACTTGCTGAATTGCCCAGGCTTTCATACAGGGTCTCTTCCTTCAGTCTTTTGTATTTTTATTGTTATGTAAAACTTGCTTTTATTTTAATATTGACGTCAGTATTTCAACTGCTGTAAAATGATAAACTTTTATACTTCTATGAGTCCCTGAGGAGCTAGTTCCCTTTGCTCGCGGTGCAGGCATGCTTCCCCTGTGAGAGCTGTACTACCCTCCAGCTGGCTGTATGGAAAGGAAATAGCCTGTCCCCTTCCCTCGCGCCTCTGTCCTTCTCTCCGCAGAACCTGGGTTGTGTTGCTATGGGCATCAGATCCAAAGTCAGCCAGCCTCTTGTTTTTGCATCACTTCCTTGTGTTTATATGGTGTTTTGTCTGTGTTGCTGTTTAGAGTAAATAAACTGTTTATATTTTTTAAAAAAACCTCAGCCATAAGTTTTTTTAGCATCCGTTTATGGAGCTCCATGCATGTGTAGTCTCCTATTGTTTTCACTAGTCCTTCCTGGTGGTAACTCTTCACTTCCTTTTTGTTTATTTTTTAAATTTTTATTACTTTATTTTATTTTTTAACCTTTATTTTTAGAAGTATTACAGATGTCTCCCCTTTTCCCCCCCATTGATCCCCTACACACTGTAGCCGACCTCCTAGGCCTTCACCACGCTATTGTCTGTGTCCATGGGCTGTACATATATGTATATGTATATATGGGGTCCCTTTTTTCCCTGGAATGGCACACTCCCAGTTCCCTGGTTGAACTTTTCACTTTCAACTATCTTTCCACCAGGATTAGACACTAGTATTGCCTCTAATTTTCACCACCTGAAGCAACACTGTGATGAGCTTCCTTGAAATGTTTTTGTATGGAACTCTGTGTCTTTGGGTGGATTATCCAGGAGTACAATTGCTGGGTCATAAATATGGGGATCTTTATTTGGACTATTCCATATTATCTGCCAGTTTAACAAATGTAAAGTGATGTCTCATTGATTAATTTGTGTTTCTCTGATTACTAACGAGTTTGAAGAGCTTTTCATATGCTTGTTAGCCTTTTGGATTTCCTCTTCTGTAAATTACCCAATCATGTCCTTAGCCCATCTTTTGTTTGGGGATCCCAGTCTTGTGTTCCTTATATTACTCTCAGTCTCTTGTGTTCTTTATATTGCATATCAGACTCTTATGGCTTTATAAATTTAAGGAGCTTCTCCTAATTTGTAAGATTTCTGTAAACTTTATCTATGATGTCCTTCATTGGACATTGGACAGAAAGACCTAATTATGATGTAATCAAATTCATCAATTACCATGCTGATGATTTGTGAGATAATATTAGGCGGAAGCATTGTTTAAGAATATTTTCCACCACCTGTAGGTCACAAGGATATTCTTTTACATTTTCCGGTATAAACATTATAGATTTGGTTTTGTTTTTTGGTTCTTAATCCATCTGCAACCCACCATTTGCATTTACTATTGAAAAAGGTATCCAGTTTTAATATTCCACATATTGCAGGCCTGTTTTCTTGACACCATTCACTAACCACGTGTCCTTCACATTACTGAGTACACCTCCACCCTTCCCTCTGGCACTTCTACCCTCCAGGTAACACCATTTATGCTGTAAAGGAAGTGTGAAAGGGAGGGGTGAGGCTAAAGAGTTTCTTTAGGTCATTGCCACCCTTGCTGAGTCAGTAAATAGGTGTAGGTTTCTTAATCCCCAAGAAACCTGTTCATGCCAGTTGCCTACACTTGTCTCAGGTGTCTGTGGATGGAAACTAGCATCATTCTTTGAAATACGTCATGGTGTTTCATGAGCAAGAGAGAGAGGTTGATCAGTAGAGGAGATCAGTCCTATTGGAAAGAGGGAAAATAATCTCCTGTATGTTTAAATATTGTGTCTATAAAATTCCCATAATCTCTTGTTTCAATGAGTGGGTGCACATAAAAGAACTTAGAAAAATATTAAGCCTACTTATGGAAAGTAATATTACTTTTATCTTGTGTTTACTTTGCAATCTCCTGTAGTCCCAAATTTTCAGTATAAAACTGGTCTTTCTTCCACATCACAGGTGGGAAAACAGAGAGAAAAGTTCAAATTAACAACATTTTAAAGGTCAAGTGTGTGACAGTTTTCTTCATGTTCCCTATCTCTGATTCCCATGCTCAGTCATGTACTCAATAAATATTTAGTATCCCTGATTCTGTGCAAAGCACTGGTATCTTGAAACTAATGTAATATTTACCAGTTGAATTTGATCTTATGGTTATATGCTATTTTTTTTCCTTTCCTTTCCCCATGGAACACCCTCAGACACTTCAAAATAGAAAGCTAAGAAATGTTTTCCCACGGTCTTAGAGCAAGTCAGAAAAGACTTAGAATTTGAACCCAGCCCCCTGCCTCCTCTCTTAACCAGGTCTTGCTGCTGCTAATTGTGATCTTAGATCATCAAAACTCTAGCTTTTCTAACAAGTGCATCCACATTAACAAACTTAGCTAGATTTTGCTGCATTTTCCTCTTCCATTCCTTTCTTTTTTCTCCTTTTATTTTCCTTCAGATAAAACAGATTTGTATGTTGTCAGCCAAATTAAGACAAATCCTCATTTATCCCATTTACAAGCTCAGCAGAGAAATGTCATAAAGGTATTCACAACCTTATTCTTGCACCTTTAAAACCTAATTATTGCAAAGGAATGTACAGCTAAAACTTAAATGAAACTTCAAAACTGGCAGCTTGTATTGACTATGACCTTCTATGGAAAAGGTATAACTATTCTCTAATATTAAAGACTCATTGTTGTACGTATTACATTTAACGCATTGCAAAATACTTAGACACATCTCATTGGAGAACCTTGCATAACCCTTTGAGGATGAAATCCAAGGATTAGGGCGCTGAGAACGCGAGTCCACGCGGGTCTGCTGCTGTGCGCGTCCCATCCTCCCCCACGCAGCTTTCAGTCATGGCCTCCGGCAACGCGCACATTGGCAAGCCCGCCCCGGACTTCCAGGCCACCGCGGTGGTGGACGGCGCCTTCCAGGAGGTGAAACTCTCCGACTACAGAGGGAAGTACGTTGTCCTCTTCTTCTACCCGCTGGACTTCACCTTCGTGTGCCCCACCGAGATCATCGCCTTCAGCGAGCACGCCGCGGACTTCCGCAAGCTGGGCTGCGAGGTGCTGGGGGTCTCCGTGGACTCGCAGTTCACCCACCTGGCTTGGATTAACACCCCCCGGAAGGAGGGTGGCTTGGGCCCCCTGAACATCCCCCTGCTGGCTGTCTTTGGAAAGCATCTGTGCTGGCCCAGGAAAGGCCACGCTTGCCCCTTCAAATTCCTCAGTCCTGACCCTGAAGGGCCAGGCCAAGGCCTTCTTATATTCCTAGCTGAGTGGTGAATGGTGACCCATTGCTGGAACTCCCCAACCGGGCACAGGCCTAGAGGTGACCAATAAAGTATTAGGGACAAAAAAAAAAAAAGAAATCCAAGGATTAGTGCTCCCCATTTTGCAGATTAAATAGATGGGGTGAGTTTAGTGACTGATGAGCTAATAAGATCATACAAGTTCCATTTGGCAAATCCACATCTTGTACTACTAATATATTTTCCGAGAATAACACTTCTTTGAAAGAAATTTCAATTTATTAAAGCAAAACTAAACTTGCTTACAGATTACACAATGCAAAACCTTGTAATGCATGGGGAAGTAATTTCTTACACCCTTTCCTCATCAATGAAATGAACTTGGCCAATCATGAGCAAAAGTGATACATTCAGGAAATTTGCCCCCCCCACCCCCCCACCCCCCGGCCAAACATCCTCTGGGCTTCTGTTTGCTTCACACCTCTTCATCCATCCAAACAGAATAAAGCATTTCAAAGATCAATGTGTTACCCTTCTGGCTGTCTACAGGGTGTAAAGAAACAGTCAGTAAGGACAAACCCCTATGTATCTCTAAGAAGGTAGTTAGTTCTCTTTTACCTTTTGGAGAATTGTTGTGTGTGTGTGTGTGTGTGTGTGTGTGTGTGTGTGAGAGAGAGAGAGAGAGAGAGAGAGAGAGAGAGAGACTGAGAGTGAGTTGAGATGTAGGTTGAAGCAGCAGAGAGATGAGTTGAAGGATGTTCCTGCAATCCAGGAAAAAATTATAAGCTCTTTGTATTATTTCTACCACTGAAAAACTCAGCCATTCATGTATTCATTCACTCAACATTTATTAATACAATAATTTACCAAATACACACTCTGCATCTGTTCTGTATTTTAGGGGTCCAGTTATACTCTCCCAGGCTCTTGGTCTAGATAGACATATAAATGAATAAGTGAGCATAGAGTGAAAGAAGCATAATAGGCACTAAGTATAATAGAGTACAAAGGAGGAAGTAATTGACGTGTGAGATGGAGGTCAGCAAAGATCTCTCAGAAGAATATATTTCAGGTGGAGTTGTAAAGAGAAGTACAGCTTAGTCTGCCAGATGTTCCATATGGCATGAAGGCCTGAAATGGACTGGTACATTCATGAGACAATAAGTAGTCCAGTGATGAACACTGATAGTACCAAAATCATGGAGAGATGTGTATGTCACGGGGAGTGTACTTAAGTTGTTTTCATCTGACTGACATCTCTTCCCCCTTCAAATGATAATAACACCCTGATTTTCTGTGGGGAACCACATTTCCCTACTCCTTATCATCTTAGTTGGGCTGTCTTTCATGTCAATCTCCTAGTTATCCAATCTAAGACAGTACTCAAGCTATCCAGTCTAAGATTCCATCTTCCTTGGCTACAGTGATTAGTTCAAGGTCCAAGATCCAATCTAAGCCAATAAGAACCTTTTCTAAGATTTGGTGTATGGACAATGAGTTATGGAGTCCTCCTTCCTTTGGAATCTTGAACTGTATGGATTGAACAAGCCTGAGAGCTGTAAGTAGCTAGCTACCTTCTTCAGCCTCCTACAGGTTGTCCACCAAATGAGACAGACATAGAGGGAAGTAGAATCCAGGGTAGAATGAGAGAGAACAAGAGAAAGGGAAGATGGTAGTATCCCTTGAGCCCAGTGGCTGAAGCTTTGGATCAATTCCCTTTATTTTCTCATTATATGAGTTCTCCTCGAGCCACCTTAAATTGACTTATGACCTCCAAAATCCTGAGTATTAACTCATGTTAAGGACTTTGGACTTTATTATCAGGGCAATGACAAAGTCTGTGAAAAGTTTAGAGCAATGAATAGATTTGTACTAGTATTTTAGAAAACATATGCTGGCAACAGTGTAGAGCAGCCGTGGGCAAACTACGGCCCGCGGGCCGGATCCGGCCTGTTTGAAATGAATAAAACTATTGAAAAAAAGACCCTACCCTTTTATGTAATGATGTTTACTTTGAATGCTTTTGTTCCGGCCCTCCGGTCCAGTTTAAGAACCCATTGTGGCCCTCGAGTCAAAAAGTTTGCCCACCCCTGGTGTAGAGAATGGAAGTGTAAGAGGGGTGTGTCAGTTAGCCACTTACAAAGTTCGGATGCTAACCTACATAAGAGCCAGAAAGGCATGAACTAAGGCAATGGAAGTGGGCATGAATAGCAAGAATCTATATTAAGGAAGATTTCATTGGTAATCAGCTCGGTAAAGGGTATGAGAAGAAGGAAGAATTTAGGAATAATTCTTAGGATTCTTGCATGGATTTTTTTTTGAATGGTTTTTTTGTTGATGGTGGTGGTGGTGGGTTTTGGGGGTTTTGTTGTTGTTGTTCACCCAAAGGGGGAATCCAAGAAGAGATAAATAAGAGCCAGGTAAATTAATTTAAGGAACTTTTTAATTTAAGATTTCTGTGGCACATCCATATGATGATATCCAGGTGGCAGTTAGTTACATAGTTCTGGTGCTCAGGATGAAGATACGGGCAGGAGACCTAGATTTGGGTGTCATCACTATATAGGTAGATCAGAGCTTTTTATGTGGAAGAGATCACCCAGGGATACTCTGAGGAGTGAGAGGAGAAATGACCAGAGACTGAACTAGGGGTAATGATGGTATTGAAAAGGTGGGTCCGTGGTGGAACTGGAAAAGAGATGTTGGAGAGATAGGAGGAGTCACAGCAAACTGGTCTCCTAGAGGCCAACCTGTTAAGAAAGAGGAAGTAGTCAATGGTATAAAATACCTTAGAGAGGTCAATTTGGGTTAAGACAATGAAGAGTCCTTTATGTGACTATTTGAACGTCTTCAGTGACTGTAGTCTGAGTACTTTCAGGGGAGCCAGAAAGACAAAACTTGGTCAGCAGAGGCATGCTGCAATATTTCATCCTGTTAATGCCGAATGGCATGAAATTTAAAACCTATGAATTATTTCTGGAATTTCCCATTTGATATTCGTGAGCTGTTATTGAAATATTTTCAGCTATCATAGGTAACTGGAACTGCAGAAACCAAACCCACAGATAAAGGAGAACTACTGTAAAAACGGTTTAGAATTCAGAATGTAAACAGTTTCCATTCATTGTTTAAAATAAGGATTTGCTGTAGTTAGCTCAATTTGAGTTCACTGGAGCTGGGAATTAGATTAGGTTTGTATCTTACTTAATACCCCCTTTAGAGATCTTGTGTGTGTAAATCATACAACCACAGAATTAGATATGATGTCTAAAAAGATAGATAGATGATAGATTGATAGACAAATGTATACGTACATATATGACAATATTTTAGGATACTTTAAGTCTGGCTCTTATTTAAATGAGTAGAAACAGAAAAAGAAAAGATAAAATTATAGCAAAGAGGAAAAGGGGAGAGAAGAAAAGGGAAAAAAAAGCAAATGAAAAGGTCGTCCTCACCGTCAGAGTACATTCTTAGGATCTCACATGAAAGAGCACCTTAAACCAAGGCCTTTACAATAGCACAAAATTTGGCTGTACTATGGCCTGACTATACAGCAGGGGTCCTCAAACTTTTTAAACAGGGGGCCAGTTCACTCTCCCTCAGACCGTTGGAGGGCCGGACTATAGTTAAAAAAAAAACAAAAACTATGAACAAATTCCTATGCACACTGCACATATATCTTATTTTGAAGTAAAAAAACAAAACGAGAACAAATACAATATTTGTATTTGCATGTGGCCCACAGGCCTTAGTTTGAGGACCCCTGCTATACAGCCTCCACTCCCTCTCTGGACATAAGGAGGTGGAGAAAAGGAAACAAATGGGCTCACTGTCCATTAAAACCAACTGGGGACCTTATATCAAGAGAACCTAAACTCCCTACGACCCTGGGTATAAATATCACCACGGCAAAGAGAGCACATGAAAGGAAGAGGTCCCTGACTATCTACCATCTACTCATTGATCCAACCAGCCTCAAGAGTTTTATTAAATTCTGCTTCAGCCCAAGTACTGCCAAGGCCCTGTGGATAGAGAAGGCTTAGAGTCCCTCCTCTAGAATTAAGAACTTATCTTTATATTTCCCTTTTTGAGCAAAGTTTGAAGCCTGAAGCCTACCTTCTTCTCTTAATATACCTTAGACAAGTTCTTTATCCACTACATGCCTGTTTACTTATCTGTAGAGTGGAGGTAATACTAGACCTACTGTGAAGAGTAAATGAACTCAAATGTGTAAAACACATAATAATCACTCAATTATTTGATATTGTTTTTATTATTACCATTAGTAATGTCATAAAAAAGAAATGGGCTTTTTCTTGGAATTTTTGACTTGGACCCTATTATTTTATCTTGTCCAACTTGATGAAATTGCTTGTAGGTGCTGTAATAGAAAGCCCCACAGTAAGCCACGAGTTCTTGAGTAGTTCTCGGCCCCGCTAAGCTCTGGTGAGTGTCACTTCTGGTATCTTGACCTTTGCACTCCCTATGGATGCTCAGGAAATGAGAGAAAATTTATAGAATGTCCTATGGACTTTTGCTAATTATTGTTTTGTTTCTTATCAAAAACAATGGAGAATGCTTTCCCACATGCTCACATCCTCAACTTTAATATATCACCCAAGACAAAGAATAGCGGTAGCTCTAACTTCTTCAAATGTAAGCTCCAACTTGGGTGGCTGTGTGCATGTGTTTGATGCTTGAGACCAAGGGTGGTCCAGAGCATTCCAGTTAAGTTCAAATGTATGATGAATTGTAAAAACATGCTCCATTCTTTTCCAAGGTTCACCACAATCCATGTGATGAAGCAGACTGGCCTCATATTTTCGTGCAGAGTATTACACAGAGCTCATGAAAGCAGGGGCTGGAATGGGTCAGCCAAGGGCTCAACACAGAGGTGCTGTGTTTAATATTCAGCCGTATCTGCCTGAGAACCTCAAAGATCACCCATGCTCAGTCTTCTGAGCATGCCTTCTTTTCCTTAGCAATCTAATGAAGTAGGAATTTCAAAATGATACCAGTAAACCAGCTGTG